AAAAAAAAATAAATAAATAAGAAATGTCTGTGAAAATGCTTTGTAAACTCTATTATGAGATACAGATGCTAATCGTGGTTACTCCTACAACATACTGAAATCTGACCTGGCATTCTGCCAACCACACTGACATCTCTTCATGAATATAGCAAGAGAGTAACTTCTACTCACTCCAAGATACTGCAAAGTCTAAAAGTTGTACCATATATTAGTATATTCTCAATTTTTAAAAACTGGCAATTTATATATAGTAACTGATTTTTTTCCAGAGACCCTAATTTTGATCAATCAAAATGCTGTATGCTATTGCCATAGAAAGACAAGTACATGGAGGCACAAGCCTCCATTCTGCAGGGGCATGCAAAGATGACAGAAAGCAAGAATTCCAGAGGTGAACACTGGCTGCCCCAGGGTCAGAAATAAAGAAAAGACAGCAGGTGCTATACAGACCACCCAGAAGGAAAGTATTATGCCCACGGTTCGAACTGAGGAAGCTCTGTTCCTGCTTCCAATTTTAACTCCCTCTAAAATGGGTTGCAGAAATAAAAGTTGGAGCCAGAGGTGACAGGATGTGAAAACCAGGAATATTTAGTGCTGGTGACCTTAATTTTAAATTTAGGGTGGCAACTACCACGAAAGGAAAACAAGACAGTAAACATCTAAATCATTAGGTTCATTCTTTCTGTGAAGATCTAATTTACTGTGGAAAAGACAGTTATAACTCTTCTCCTCTATATCAGTTATAAAGGGGGAAGGCAGGGTAAAAATCACAATAAATACCAAACTTACAATTCTTGTAGCAAGGTTGCCTGAAGGGTTTTCCTTTTGAAAAGGCAATTGCCACTATGAGGTACTGAAAACTGGAAATAAAAAACACTGTGGTATTTTCATAATTTTGTATATTATGTTCATCAAGTTCAGTTTCATTATGTAGGTGTGAAGAATTCCAATATAGGCTTCTTGTTGTGTTACAAGCACTAGAACACATGCAAAAAATTTTTGCATTAGTAAACAATATTCATTTCCCAAAAGCAACCAATTTTACCTTAACTGCCCTGAATCATTATGATAATAGAAATAAAGTGCTGTTTACAGCAAAAGACTCAACAATATCAATATAAGATATATAAAACAGGTAGAAGAGTATTAACGGTTTTCTCTTTAGCCAAACGTACCAATTAGTTAAAAAATCAGAATCAAGCAAAATATTTAATAAGCACCTCCCCCCTTGGTTTTATGAATAACTTTAGCATAGTGAAGGTAACCAGACCATGGGTTTGACCTTAGCTCTATCATTTTTTTTTTTTTGAGACAGAGTCTCACTCTGTTGCCAGGGCTAGAGAGCCGTGGTGTCAGCCTAGCACACAGCAACCTCAAACTCCTGGGCTCAAGCAATCCTCCTGCCTCAGCCTCCCAAGTAGCTGGGACTACAGGCACGTGCCATCGTGCCTGGCTAATTTTTTCTATGTATTTTTAGTTGTCCAGCTAATTCCTTTCTATTTTTTTAGTAGAGACGGGGTCTCGCTCTTGCTCAGGCTTGTCTTGAACTCCTGAGCTCAAATGATCTGCCCGCCTCAGCCTCCCAGAGTGCTAGGATTACAGGCGTGAGCCACTGCACCCAGCCCAGCTCTATCACTCTTTAATGCTGAGGAAATAGTATTTATTCTCTTTGAGCCTATTTGCTCACCTGTAAATGTGGGTACCACCTCCCTCATCACAGGGTTACTGTGGAGTCTAAGATGACTTCTGTAAACGCCTAGCAAAGCACATGGAACTGAGATGGCCTCAGTATTTTTTAGCTACGGTTCTCCCTCATTTCTACTTCAGCACTGTCAGGCCTACACGGAACTGGGTAGACCCCAACATCCATCACTAAAACATTAGCTACTAAACCAAGTAAGTGGTAACAAAATGTTAATCTTCTACAAATGAACTCTGGAAAGAGTTTCAAGACAATTCCACCTCTTGTTTTTTAAGTTTTAAAATGCCATTTCTTAAACTGGAGGAAGAAAAATTAGAAGCACAAACGCTCTGGGTTTAGACGAGGCCCTAGAGATTCATTACAACTTCTTCGTTTTACAGATAAGAAGAGAAAGTCTCGGCAGCAAATTAAGAAACTAGTCCAGTCCCACCCCGGCAGTGATTATTAGGACCTTGCCTGAACACCTTCCTACAAATAGGAGTTACCATTGAACAAAAGCAAATCCAGGCCAAACTAAGCATTTAAATCAATCTGCGTGCAAACTTTTATATAAATTTCTAGACTCGTTTTTACATCATACATGTTGCACACACTTTATACAGATTTTCACATAAATTGGCCAACTTACTCTGAATGTGGATGCCACACTTCATACCAAGGTTGCTGCTTGACCCAAAAAAAACCCAAAGATTGAAATCCAACGCAGATGATAATCTGAGATAAAACGGAGAAGAGAAGGGCCCCGGATATGAGACCTGATGGTGGTCTTTGTGCCACGAGTTCCTTCCAGGCAGGATTTAAACTCACTATATTGAAAAGAAAAGAGGACAGGTTTGTATCTGAATTAATTTGTCACTATAAAAGACATAATCAGACTCATTTAGGGACTTAAAAAAAATTGTTTTTGTCAAACAATTCTTTAATATGAAAATCTCCAAAAACCAAACCAGATTATCATACATATTTAAGTAATCTGTCAAAGTAAACAATTTAGGCTGTTTCAAAAATGCCTCAGGAATAATCTTTACATTTCTATCGAAACTAAGAGGAAACAGTAGTACAAATAAAAATAATACTAAACATAACCACAAAAACTACAAAATTAATTATGACCCTTATAAATTAAGTGTCCATTACTTTCTGAATCCTTAATTCCAAAGCTACAGTTAAAATAATACATATTTCACAGCACAATTCACAACTGCAAAGATACGGAATCAACCTAAGTGTCCATCAACTAATAAGCAGTTAAAGAAAATGTGGTGTGTATATATACATACCACAAAGTACTACTCAGCAGTAAAAAGGAATGAAATCTCTTTTGCAGCAACTTGGATGGAACTGGAAGCCATTAGAGATCAACAATTACCTACTTGGTATGATGTACACTATTCTGGTGATGGGTGCACTAAAATCCCGAATTTAAGCACTCTACAATTCATCCATGTTAACAAAAAACAACTAACATACATATTTCTTCCTCTTAAGAAAACAATTAACAGTTTGAAGCAATATAAACATAGCAGAAACATTACAAAAAAGAGGCTTTGATCACTTATTTAGGTGGTGTCCTCCAAGTTTTCCACTGTAAAGTTTCTATTTTTCCCTTGTAATTAATAACTTGTGAAAAGATACTTTGGGACGGTGTAAAAACCCTGCTTCTCATCAAACTTCCATTCACTAGTTTTATCATCTACTAAAGATTGTCTAAGTGGTTCTCAACCAGAAATAATTTTGCACCCAAAGGGAATATTTGGCAATGTCTGGAGATATTTTTCATTGTCACAATTTGGAGAGTGCTACTGGCATCTAGTAGGAAGGGGGCCAGAGATGCTGCTAAGCATCCTTCAATGTGCAGAACCAGCTCTCACCAGAAAGGTTATCTACCTAAAATGTCAGTAAGACCAGAGTTTCTCCATAGTCTAACAACAGTCCTTCTGTACTTACTGGTTAGCATTTTACTATAAGAGCTTTCCCTCCTCTTTCAAGTATTTATTTATAGACGGATTCGTGAATTTTTATTTGATTCAGTGGGTCATATCCCATTATCATTATTTACTTTTGATGTTCTAGTAATAGTCCCAATAGTCCCAATACTGCTAATACGCCTCTTTATATGATGCATCTAGAAGAGCACAGTGTCGGTTCCGTGACATTCCCACGAAAAATCCACAGCCTGAGTTTAATGAGAAAAAATCAGACAAATCCATATTCACTGGCCTATACTGATTCATAAATGTTAATGTCAAGATGCCCCCAAAAAGGAAAAGGGACTATTCCAAATTGAAGACTAAAGAGAAATTTGTAGGCCTAGATTACATCCTGGTTCTAATCTAGGGGACCAGGGGAAAAACAGGTATAAAGGATAAAGGACATTATTGGGACAAATGACAAAACCAGAATATAAACTTTGGGCTAGATAATATTATATCAGTGTTAAACTTCCCGATCTCGGTAAGTGTATTTAGTTACATAAGAGAATGCTTTCATTTAAGGAAAATTAAAGAAATTTAAATAAATTTTAAATTTAAGGAAAAAAATACAGACAGAACAGTAAAACAAATGGGGAAAAATATGAACAACTGGTAATAAAAGAACAAATTTATAGGGAATCTGGAGAAGTATGAGCTATGTTACAACTGTTGATGTAAATTTACCAAAGTTTAAGAAGTCACATAAGAATTTCATATGCTTTGAAATCAATAACAAAGCAAATTACTCACTTGTAAATACCACTACCAAAATGATTGCCAAATCAATGAAGAGAAACTGGAAGTCTCCTAGGTTACTTAAGACCTACAGAAGTAATTTTTAAAACATAATTAGTTTTCAGGAAGTATTTTTATAGCATTATCCCCAGGTTTTTGTGTTTTTCCCCCCAATAATGACGACTTCAAAATGACACTTGGACCTGCTTAAAACTGAAATGCATTTGCCTTTAATCAAATATAACATATATTTGAACATTCAATTTAACACATTAGTATAAATGGCATCTCCTTAAAAATCATTCCAAAAAAACCTTTAAAAAGTTTTCTGGCAAAAAGAAAACACAAATATTTTACTCGAAATATTCAACCTTGTAAATTAGCATCTTGAAGCTTCCTTAACATGTAACACAATTCCTTCTGATACTTCTTACTAATGGTAAAAAGGGATACTTCCACAAAGATTCTTTGGGATGCCACCAATGTTCATTTAGAGAAAAATCTACAATGAGAACACTTCAATTATAAAATCCAATAGAATACCTATGGATACCACTGCTTAGTTTTTTCTCTAAACGCATAAAGTTCTACACACTATTGTGGAAACATCTTTCTCATTCTGACCATTTCCTATAAATGTATGGCAAAGCTAATTACAATTCTGAAATATTCCATAGCTTGACATTTTGAAGTGTTCTAAGAAAGATGTCCAATCTGCACTAAAAGCAAAAAAGAATACAATCATCATTTGTTCCCAAGGCTGAAGCCACAGTTGTTGGCCATAAGAAAAATGCTATTCCAGATTAGTGAGATTTTCAATCTACTACTCAAACTACATTAAACCAAAGGTAAATTTACAGATACAACTTACGTAAACTCCATTTTAATGGATGTGTTCAAAATCAAACATACATGCTCAACATCTTAATTTACACGTCTTAGCGGCAAGTGCCATCCCTGTACACAATGTTAATACTCACGGAATACAGGAGAGTAACACTGAAGTACTGGATGATGCTGTACAATGCCATAAATTTAAACACACAGAAGGAAGTTATTAAAGCAGCACGGCCTTCCCTGTGAAAAGAAATGTTGTATGCAAATAAAAGCATTTTAAACTCCTCCTCCAAATCACAATTATATCTTGACAGATGAACATCAACATTAAGCAGCTACAACAAAGTGCTTGTCCACTAAAAGAACTAAGCCAAAGTAGAACTGGAAGAGATGAGGAGTAGCAATCAATCTGTTACTATAAGTTACAGATTGGACATCTGCTAATACACCATTAGAACAATTCACATTACTTTTTATGATAATTTTCCCTTCTGTACTATTAGAGCAAGATACAAAGAAATGAGAAAATTTTAAATTTGTACTACCTGATAAGGTTCGGCACACAGGAAATACTAGGAGTTTTAGAGGTAAAGGGAGATGCCACCGAAGCTTCAAGCTCTGATAAGGAAATACCTCCGTGTGCTCTCTTCAAAGCCTAATAATTCCAAGAAAAGTCGTTAAGTTTTGTAAATATGATTTAGGCTAAAATAAGAACTACAAAAGTAAATCATAGAAACTATACTTACACCACAATCATTTGCGCCATCACCACACATCCCAACAAAATAGCTAGGAAACAAAACAATTTTAAGATTTTAATTAAGTCCTTAAAAGACACGACATTTAAGATTTCTATACAGAGCTAATAGACCAATTCCCTCCCTGAAACTAATGAATTCTTTCATTACAATGACCACAGGCATGTTGCTTTGCAAACACCACCAACCTGCAAGTGAAATACGTGGACTATTGTCCTATTTCTGTCACAATATAGGCAAATCATTTTGGTGTCTCAATTTCCTCATCTTTAGTGCATAAAGGCTTGCTTGTGCCTCGACAGTCTTTAGTATACTCATTTTTAAAGTTATCAGCAAATTGGTTCCAAGAACAAACAGGAAAGTAAGAATATAACTAATAATAAAAAAGAAAAAAAAATTAAACAAAAAAGAAAAAAAATAAAGTTATCAGCAAAGATTTCTCCCTCTAAAACCTTAAGTATAACCATTTACTAAAACAATATATATGGTCACTTCTATCAGGATAGAGCTCCTGAATGAATGAACTCTACCTCGCAGGTATTACTTGGACAAAGAATTATAGAAACCGTACTTTAGCAAAATAAACAAGCACGTAAGCCTCTTATAAAGAAGTACTTTAAGTTTTCACCTACCTCATTATAGGTGACAATTACATACATGTGTAAAATACTAGTTACTTTTCTGGGATTGAAAATGAAACTAATTCATAAAAACAAAAACAAAAACCCAACAACACTTACTCAACATTTTGCAATGCTTCTACCAACTGTGTCTTCTGATCAGGTGCCATACGAGCAAACACAGTGCCATGTAACATCAACTGGAAAAAAATACGAATTTCTTAAAAATATTGCTCACAACATAGTCATGTGAACATATACATAAACCCAAATCACTTACCTTAGGCACAAGGTCTTGAAAATGCTCCAGTATCACAGAAAATGATTTTCCATTCATTGCAAAATGGTAACGAGTCACCTGAAGATCCTCTAAGCTATCATGGACCAATTTAATTGGAATAGCCTGTGTATGAGATATTCAGAACAATATTTAGGCATCCAAACCAAGTAACACAATTCTATTTTAAATATGTCTGTGTTCCAAACTTAAAGATTAAACATCAGCTTCAGTTTGAAATGATCCATGACTGTTATGGACCACCAGCATCATTTATAAACAATTACTTTAAAAATAAGACAAATATTTGGGATTCTCATACTTTAAAACTATGGCTCTCAATTTTGGCTAAATATCTAAATTTACACATTGAGATTCCTACCCAAGTCCTAATGAATCATAATCTGAGGAGCTAGTTCAGGCTTCTATTTTCATCTAGTTTTTGTTTTATTGTGTTTTAATGAACTACTTTTTAGTTTTTCGAACTAAATTTAAAAAAGCAAGCTTCAAAATGGAGAATTAATCTTGACATTACCTCTGAGTTAATTGCTGATGAATTACTGCACTGTGTCAGGGAGTCTGCATAATGCCAATTTATCTTGGCAACTTTCCCATCCTTTGGAGGTAATGCTTCAGCAATAATAACCTTATCCTGAGGTAGAATCATCCCACAGTCTCTAGCCACAGAAACAGCAGTCAGCATGTTGTCACCTAATTTTCAAAATATTTTAAAGGCATTAAAATTAAAATGGAAACATGAATGTATCAAACAAGCACTTACTGACAATCTACTACAGTCCCCATGACTGGGCTGGGCAGAATGAGGACAGTTTATGGTCTTTACCCCTAGAGTTTAAAAGTAGCAAAATCTGGGCATACTTCAAAGGAAGCCTCAAATCATGCAAAGCATGTATATGCTAAACAGACAGAACATTCTAATCCACAATTTTTAAAGCCAAATACAATTTTCAATCTTTTCCAGTCATGCACTATTTGTACTCACACAATACATGGCACAGTGCTATATACAGAGCAGGTACTCAATAAATATTTGCTGAAATAACCTAGGAGTGAGTGACTGGCGGTCTGTGTAAGAACACTAGCACAGTATCAATAGAAAAGGATGAATTACAAAAGCGAGATTATCCAAACAAAAAGTTAAGAAAGCTAATGAGAATAGATGTAACAAAAATCAAGAGAAACAACTTTTCATCTTGAGAAGGAAAGAACTGAAGAGAAGCAAGGACAGGATCTTAAGGGAGAGAAGCAGACAAAGGTTTGGGGATCCCATTGCTACCAGAACCAAGGTATTTCTTTCCCTAGTTCTCACACACTATTTCCAAGGGCGTCTTCCTGCGGCCCTAGAGACACAAAGACACATATTCTGGCAAAGAAGGAGGAAGAAGAGATACAGATGAAAAGTGCCTTGACCAATGAGACTTTAGAATTACTGGGATGCTAATGGACTCGGTTACCTTGAGATATACAGCAAGAAGTATTTTATTAGATGGATCTTATAGTTTAAACATAAAAATATACACAGGCTTTTTGCATGGAAGTCTTCTGAACACATAAACGCCATAAAGTAAACATCTTAAATCTGATTGCTTGCTAAGGAAAAAAAAACCAGAGCTACCACAATTTTACATAGCTAAGGAATAGAAGTTATTTGAAATTATCAACAGCATAGTAACACCAGAAGAATCATTCAGATGTACTAGTCAAAAAACAAAAACAAACCAAAAAAGAGGCTATTTTCACTACCATGAATTCAACCTAGGATAATAAATACAATATGTGACATATAAAAATTTAATTCTAACAAAAATCTATTAATCATTTTCTATGTGCCTGGTAATTGTAAAAATGGCAGAGGACCCAGAATGAATAAAACATACTCCTAGCCCTGAAAAACCTTATATTCTAATAGACAAGACAAATCTACAAATAACTAACAAAAAACAAGGTACAATAAGTGCTATAAGAAATATATGAATAAAGAGAGACAACAAAAAGTATAGTGTACTCTTTATTATTTCACTATAGTTTCTATAAATAGAATTTGCTAGACCTCAAAGAGAGTATTGCAAAGTTATCTTATACCTTAGGAAAATATCTGGTGCTAAAACAGGACAACATAGGACGGAGCTACTATATAATACGCTTTTGTAACTAATTGATCATTCCTCAATAATATATAACTTGAACTCTAAGAGTCATGCTTAATTTTTTCCTGTTCTTTTATAGTCTAACCTGTAACCATGACAGTGCGAATGTTGGCTTTATGCAAATCTTCAAGTACTGCAGGGGTTTCTTGCTTTAATTTGTTCTGCATTATAATTAATCCCATAAAATCCATGTTGTTTTCAATGGTATCTCTGCAGAAAAAGAAGTTTTAACACAGTGATTGAGTAAAGAGAGTGTCTTGTTCCCTTTGTGCTGATAAAGCAATTTAAAATACCTATAAATTATAAATTCAAACATTTTATATGCTGAATAAACCATGTGTGCATTTGAGTTTAGTACCTAAAAAAAAGTTAATCTGAAAAAGCAATTCAAGAAATACTTTTGAAATTAAATTTTAACCTTTGAAATATGAAATATAAAAATCACCTGGAAATATATCTTTGTAAAACACTAGTACTAGAGAATATTTATCTTATATTCTGTGCAAAAATGCATAAGCATAAATCTATTCTTTAATGTCCCCCTACAACATACTCTAACTTAAATGTTAAAAGAAAAGGAAAAAACTGTACCACAAGCACATTTGATACAGTTATAGTAGACTCATTATCAAGTCTTTGATCAATTCTATAAAACAATTCTGGATGCTGGAAATGTGATACAAGAACCATTTGCAGTCCAACAATGAGATCTACTCAGAACTCAGAGATGGGTCTTTGGAAATATTAATAATCAATATAATTATCAAGATGCTATTTTTCAATAACTGAGTGTCCACAGTGCATCAGTGACTAGCATAATGCTAGTCACTGGGAGGTCAAAGATGAAAAGGCATGATCTCAACTCTCAAGACCATTTTGTGAGAAAACAGACATGCAACCAGAGGCATACAAAAATATTAATAACACATGCTTCTGCATGAAATTAGATAAAGTCTGTTCAGTGATATAGCTGCATTCATAAGAAATCTCAAGCTACCAAAATTATATCCTAGAGTGTTTTTTTCAATGGGGAAAGGAGGCTTGAGGTTAGGGACCAGAATTTCAGACTTGCAATAACCAAGTGATTTTTCTAGACAAAAATTCCACAAAAGCTGTTTGAAGTGCATAACTATGAAACCTAAACATCACTGAAATAGGTAATATATAACAATGGGTGGTAAAAGTATCAAAGAATAGTTGAGAAAATCAATATAAATGATACTGATGGTGGTAACAGGAGAAAAAAGCCTTGAAAGCTGAAATTGCATTTCAAAGCGCAAAGTGGCACCGATGTGAAACTATTGTGTCAAACGCACAGAGCCATTTTGCTATAGAACACTAGTTTCTGGCTTCAGTTGGTTTCCTAAGTCTCCTGTGAATGATACAGCTCATGGAAATCTTGCCCCCTAATTACTGAATAGTCCAACATTCAAGACATGAAGGTTGAAGCTATAAGAGAAATGCTAAAACCTGTTCCTACAAGATAGAATGGAACCACAGAGAAGGTCTCGGCTGAAAGATGAAAAAGAAAGAAGAAGATTGATAGGAAGGGAGAGTGTATTCTGGACAGAAGGAACAGCCTATCCAATGGCATAGAAGGATGTCTGAATGAAAGGCTCATGAACTATAGGTAATTTTAAGTCTTTAAGGGGGAAATGGCAAAAGGTGAAGCCATAGCGAAGAGACTAATGTGCCCTTTGGAGGAATTAGGATATAATATTAATACGATACATCTGTGGTTCCCAACCGTGCATATGCATCAGATCACTTGGGTAGAGGTTTTGTTTTTGTTTTTTTTAATTTTTGTTTTTTATTTTTAAACACTCATACTGAGAGTATGACCACCACCCCCAAATAGGCAAAATTAGCAGGACAGTCAATGGATATTCCTTTCTACTTATAAAATGTAAAAATCCCTAACAAAAATGCTATCCTCAAAGGTATAGATAAGTGACAGCAAAAGTGACAACCCTTGAATATGAAACCCATATTTATACATAGATGGAAATGTGACGCTGGTAATGCCATTTGACTTGTGGGGTGAGGGGATTTGGAGAGAAGTGGGGTGGGAGGAGAGTGGCTGCTGTGATTCACAATACTCTGACCAAACTAGTACTTGAATCCAACCCTGGGCAAAAGTGAGAGGTCATTCAGAGAAAATAAACTTCTGTAACATTATGTTTACTATTCCTAGAATGTGCCTGCCACACAGTAGGCACTGGATAAATATTTAACTAACGAACTGAAAATGTTCCAAAGAGTTCTAAGAAAAAACACACCATGTTACAATAATATAAGCGAACATAAGTAAATAGTCAATTTAGAAGCAGAGGACATTAGATAGTGGGGGAAAAATGTACTCTTACCACAATCACCTAAAATGATACTGTATTACGTATATTTGCCTACATTCAATTACTAGTCAATAAATGCCCAACCACATGCAAGTTTTTGTGCATGACTTATATAAACTTAAATGATGCATACTGAAAAAACTGTAGGAAAGATGCTCATCAACCTCACCTGCTAATATTTTGTACTTTATGCCATGTCAATTTTGACTCCAATTTTCTGTGTGCAAGAGCTATCACACGGAAGCCCTGTTTAGTGAAGTCTTCCAAAACTTTTTCAAAATCAACGGGAACTTTTAAAAGAAAAAGTAAATTTCATTGTTACAATTGCTAATATGAGCTTATACAAATATCAGAATTTTATCCAAAGCGTAGTTATTTCCTTACCTGTTTCAGGTTTACAAAGACTGGCAATGACCTCAGGTGCTCCTTTCATGTAAGCATCCATTTTCTTGTCCCCCAGTACCCTTGCAACCACACTCATACGTTGCAACGCAGAAGAAAATGGGAACTGGCGAACAATTCCTATTTCATAAATAGCCTATATAGTTCCAAAAGATGCACAAAGTATTTATTATTCTTTCAGAATAAAAACAAATATATTCAGGTAACAAGTAAACATTCTTCACTTACTGGAAGTTCAAACAGCTCCTAAAAACAAAACAAGAATAAAGAAATAATACAGATTAAATCTATTAACATATTCAAGTCAGAAAAAATTTACTAAGCACCTACAAAATATTATCTGGAAAAAAGCAAGGAACTTTATTTCAAAGTCAGGCTTTAAGATTCTTTCTATACTACCTCCCATTTTTAAAAAAGTATATTCTTAAATATTTTCAAATACCCTAGTATCCTGACAATATTAAGTACTAAAATAAACTAAGGGGAATATATTTTAAAATTCACCTAAAAATAAAGTCTTTCATATATTCTTTTTATTAAATTCTATAAATTTAGATGCTATCTAAAAGGACTAATCACAAGACATTAAGCTGTTCAGTAAATAGGAAAGAAAATTAATGGTACTAAGAATTAAATCTCGACATTTTTAAAGAATGCCTGCAATATACCAGAGGTGTAGTTTCTGATAAATGCAGTTAAAATATTCATATCTGTATACAACTTAAATAAAGCATATACAACTTCCTCTTCTAGCAACATGTCAAAATAAGAATTAAATTTAAATTTAAGTAAGCATCAACAGTATTATCCAGTTTTATGTGATTTTGTACCATTTCTTGGTTTCCTGCCGGTGTAGACTCAGGAAGCAACTGTTTGGGAGGACGAACCACCGTGGGCATAATTCGATTATGAAGTGCTGTTTCTTCTTCAGTTGCTTCTTCCAGAATCTGAAAGGAAAATATTTGATGCCTTGCTTCATAAAATTCAACTCACTCGTTCCATTTTCAAATGGAACATTATGGCCATTTTCAGTGAATTAAAAAAAAAATTCTGTCCAAGGAACAAATGAGCACTACTAGATTAGTAACATAAGTGAAACAAAATATAAACAAAGCTGGTTAGTTAGATGCCTAGCAACCCATGGGGGAGGAGAGACAGACATTAGAAGCAGAAGAAAGAAATAGAAACAAACTTCTCTCATTTCATTCCTACAAGCTGTTGGGTTTAGAGATTAGCTCTGCAAAAAACAGAAGGTTCTCGCAGTTCCAGAAATTTTCAGTATCATCATCCATGGACTCCCCTCTGCTAACAGTAGAAAATTTGGAAGTATATGGAGATCAGAAATGGTTAGTAGAACCGGTGGGTTGAGAATAGGCTGAAGTAAAAAGATACGAATTTAGAGTTTCAGCTTGAACACTTCTGGTTAAGTTACTACTATCCCTAACCCTTTTGAAATTTACTTTAAAAACATTTCTTGGGTGAAAAAAATTCAAACAAAAACCTACATTAAACACACATACAAGAGGAACAATAAATTAATTGGAAGGATCAATCAATCAGAAAATAATGGGGAGGGGAACTGTGAACAATTAGCCAATTTTATACAATTCCTAGACATATTCTTTTTTCACGTTAACATCTCTAAAATTGAGAAGCATCTAATATTATATAATATCAATCACATCAGGTAGCAGTTGTGACTGGTTATGTGAAACCATTCCATTGATACATAAGATCTGGTAAGATCAAGCATCAAAGCATCTCACAGACAACAAAACATGCCATTATACCAATTTACTTTATTTAACCAATTTTTTTAAAAGATCCACAAACACTGAACACTAAATCTGCTGAAAAGTTGGAGAAAAGCTTTAGAGAACAAAGATAAATCAGTCAATTTTCTTTTCTCTCTATAAATGAAGTGGGGCCTCCTTTCAGGAATTAAATTTCAAGAGTATTTATTGTGGGCTTTCAGAAGATGGCAGATGGAGCACTTGTGCAATCACCCACCTCCTTCCCTTTCAAAATGTTAACAAAATACAGAGAGAGAAAGAGAGAGAGAGAGAAGAAATCCTGTAAAAGTAAACAGAAAGCAAAGCAGAGAGAGGGAATTTCTAATATGGAGATAAAGGATAAACTGAAACATAATGACTGATATAACTGTGAAGTAAACAATAGCCCAGAAAAAAACAAAAGAGGATATCAAGAGAGGTAGGAACATTTCTTATCAGCCAGAATAGGAGAGGTAAACAAAATATGAGCAAGCACTTAGAAATTAAAATTACCAATGGCAAATATAGAAGGAAGTTGTAAATAAAAACAGAGTAGGGTGTATACCATGGAGTACTATTCAGCTTTAAGAAACAATGGTGATATAGCACCTCT